TTTTTTTTTTTTTTTTTTTTAATGTGTACCTACCGGTAGCTCGAGGCTCGGCAAGGTTCGGGATACCGGTACGCTGAGCCACGGGTACTGGTGGTTTAACAGCAAATTCAAAGCTCTCGACACTTTCTTGCATATCCCAATGGTGGGTTCCTCGTAGGTAGGACAGAGTTCCTCTGTATCGTAGCCTGCAGACAGCCCACCAAAGACACAGCCTGCAGAAGCCAAGTAAAAAGGAAAGAAGAGCTGATGTACAACCCCTTCAAAAAGGCAAATGACGTGGAGGGGAACAGATATCCGTGCAGCATTGTAAGCTGGCACGCCAAACAAAGATGGCATGCAAGGAGGGAAGAGAAAAGAAACTGGCCTGAAGATTGGGATTGAGGGGCAAAATTGTAATTTGAGGAGGTGTTTTCACATTTGTTGGGAAAAAGGGTGGAAGCAGGTTCATTGATGACGTATCTTTCCTCCCAAAGGTTGCCGGGGAAGTTGTTTCGAACCCAAGATGTTTAGGGGGTTAGTGATTTTAGCTTCTGGGAGGTAAACTGCTGCACTTTTAGCTTGATGTGTTAGATGGGCGCTACTAGGAACTCCTTTGTGTGCGTGGAGACAGCTGGCTGAGTTTGTTCTTTTCAACAACTGGGACTGGGCTCATCTCAGATGTCTTTGTCTGGCTGTCCTTCACCCCGCTTACCTGTGCAAACATTCATCATCTGATATTTGGTCTGGTATCATGAAGGCCTGGAAGCATGTCTGACCACATCTATCACCACAGCCAATGGTAGCAGAACACATTAACCCAACTGCTGTTTGACAACCCTTTTATCGTCACCGCAGATGGCGTACCCTTCCCTTGTTTCGGAGTGGGTATGTTTGGTCATGCATGGATGTCAAGAGGGATTGGGACCATAGCAGATATTTGGAATGTGTATACCTTAGACCGGAAAGACTTTTACTCGCTGCCAGGGAAGTTGTCTGGGCTGTGGAACGAGTGGGCACATTTGGAGGCTATTCAGCAGACCGTTCCATGGTTATGGGTTTAAAGTTTAAACCACCAGTACTCCCGGGCCACTTTCTTTCGGGGCTTCAAACGCCCTGCGTGCCAAGGTTTGTCGAACCACCAGCTCGACATGCTTTTTTATTTTGGCTGGCACCACCAGCCATGGTGGTCTGGTAGCCCCGAAGTCCGGTGAATGCGGCGCATTGACGTCAAGGGCCTGCGGCTTATGTGTGAGCCAAGTACTGGTTGTTCGAGTGCTTCGGGCAGGGATTTGCTCGAGGCAAGGCCAGTGGTACGGCCATTGGCAGAAAAGATTGTTCCAACTTTGATTTGGAAAGTTGAGGCTGACAGAGACCCACTCCATCTTCAAGCATCACGTTGGGATGTTCAAGGGCGGTTTCATCTTTGGGGCCACAACTGCAGCAGGCTGCCCGGCCTCATAGTCGCGGGTCCCTGTCCGTGTTTTGGAAAACAAAGAATGTTGTCGTTGTTTTGCAGTTACAATCCCGTCCTATAATTTGCCTGTTGGTCCCAGGGACTGGGCTTGGAACCAATCTGCCTGTTGATCCCAGGGACTGTGCTTGGAACCATCCGACTCACCTGCTGGAAACAGCTGCTCTAGATAAATATTAAATACACTACCGAGTTGGGATATCAAGTTACAAGACCAGCCTTAGATGTAAGCTGGATTGTTGCGAAACGATGGATTGGAACGCGTTGGATTCAGATATGCTTCCAAGAAGGGCTGCTGTTTCGCCAAAATTCTGGACAATGCGGATGGAACTGCCAGTGGGCAAACAGGCAAGTTTTCTTTGGCTGCTGGGACACCAAATGGCTCCAAATGGCTACTGGAAGAGCCTGGTGTCCCAGCAGTAGCCATTTGGTGTGCCAGGAGAACACCCAAAGCAACTCCAAAACGTGTTATACATCCTGGCACTCGTATGGAAGGCTTGCAGCATGTGTCTTCTTTGTGATATCGTTACGGCGGGTGGCGCAGTTCTGGAGTCCCCGATAGTGGATGTGGTTCACCAATGGACTGACGACTTTGTTCTGCTAGGAGTGACTGCTAGAGGAGGTTCATTGAAGCCGCATTGACACATGTGGAGGAAATATTGAGGGCAGCCATACTATGGACATAGTGGATGATCAGGAATTGGGTGGAATTGGGTGGAATTGGGTAGCATTTTGGTCTTCATATGGAGTACTGCACATAGAATCAGGTGATGATTCTTCTTTCTTACACATCGGAGCTTACGTGCACATCGGAGTTAAAACTAAAAATAAGAAATTCTGCGGTGCGATAGGGGGAGCAGTACGCTCCCCAATGATTAGTGCTCATGTCAAAGCTTCTCCCCCCCCTCCGCCTTCTCAAAATTCAAATTTCTCGGGTGCCCGTGCACTCAACGTGTGCTCAGATACATGCCCGGGTGCCTGGCCTGGCATGACCCCTGGGCAGGGTTCCGGGCAGCCCCAGCGCGAAAATAAAAAAAGAAAAAGAAAAAGAAAAAATTCCGGAAAAAACTATGTTGTGTAGAGTTGCAATACGAACGACTTTTGGCTGAGGGTCCTCACAGAATCGGAGATAAAAAAGAAAATAACAGAATCGCACTAAGGCACCCCGCTTAATACCCCTTTTAGCGCCTTTAGAACCAATTTATACCCCCCTCCTCCCCCTTTGACAGCCAACTCTCCAGAAAAGAAATGAGCTGGATTTGGGGTCCTCTGGGAGAGCGCAGAAAACCTTTTTTTTTGTGCACGCTCGGGTACACCGGGTGTCATGCCTGGGTGCCCGTCCAGGCAGGACCAGCCCGGTGTGACAATCTTCCTAGAATTTCATTACATAAAAGGAATTGTCAGGTCAAAGCTTCTATCAAGCAGGCAAGCAGGCAATTTCAACTGACTGGACTTGATTAGTCCAGAGTAGAGGTCACCCCTCAAAAGCTTTGCGCCTGTATCGTTGTCGATGGTCGAGGTGGTACCCCTCAAGAGCCTTGCACCTGTTTCGTTGTCGATGGTCGTTTTTTCCGGGCTTGTTGACAGTGTCAGATGTAAATGTGCAACGCCTGGAAGTTTGCTTTTCTTTTGTTTTCTGTAAAAACAATGGTTCCACCCTTGGGAGGTGAACCGTTACCTGTGCGGTTGATTTTTCGGACAGTTTCTAGGTTATATTCTCAAAGACTAGACCATAAGGTAATGATACCATACTTGGATTGAATTTGCAGGTGCGTGATGAGATATGCAGTTTCCCAATGTGGTGCACTCACATGGGTTGTCTCCACTTGCTTATGGTTTTCCACTCTGGTTTTGTACCATATGGTTGGGTTCTAGAGGTCTGCTGGTGTCCCATTACTTCAGATGTGAATTTAGCTGGTATGCTTCATTGGACAAGGTACGATGTTGGTGGTGTTGAAGTCTAGTATGGAGTCGGTGCTGTTCATTTGCAATAGCGAGATAGGTCTTTTACTCGGCCTATACAGAGAATTGCGGTGTGGTGGCCTGATTCCTGCCAAGCCGATGAGCCTGGGTCATTTCAACAGGGTCAGCTCAATAAGGTGTCAGGGATGCTGGACCCGGTTCCCTGCAATATAATAAATTTCTTTTCCAAAGAAAAAGATAAGACCCCAATGGGTCTGGTCCCACAGGACAGAGGAAACGTTAGATTTTGGTGGCCTTTTATTGGCTTTTTTAAATTTAGAATAGAAAATGGAATCGTAACTGAGGCCTGATTCGTTTTGGCCATTTAGTGGTGCCGTGGAAATGGCCTGAGAACTTGCTGCCCTTGACCCCCCAGTACTTCTGAGGCACTTTTCTCCTATGCTGGAGATGTGCTGCGGGCCAAAAGCAAACGAACTGGCGCAACTTTCTTTTCACTGCCACCACCAGCCGTTTTGCTCCAGTACCCGAGGCGTGAAATTTGCGGCACATATATGACAAGGTCCCGTAGCCGATGTATGGGCCAAGTACTGGTGGTTTATTGACCCATTGCAATACTGATGGGGTGTGCCCAGCGTCAGATTTACTTTTATTTTAGAAACAACGGCGGACGCGGCAGGTTTTGAGTTCACAAAGGCAAAAAGCACATGTGGCGGCAAAGAAAACAGGTGCCGACTTTGGAACGGCAACTTGGGTTGAAAAGTATCTGTTGGGCATTTTTCTTCTTCTTTTCTTTCCCCATCTGACACCATGGCGGACCCCTGTAAATATGACACCCGGCCTGACACCACGGGCGTTGGTACTTTCATTGCTTTTTTGAACTCGGCGCTCTTGTTTCTGTGCCAGCGCTTGTTTTTCTTTGCTTATTCAATACTCAGTGACATGAACGTACTGACCTCTTTATTTTGTTTTATTATTTCCTGTGTAAATTTTATTAAACCACCAGTACTTCCTAAAGTTGTGCAGGTTAACAAGCCACAATTTTCGGAAATGTACGGGCCACTACAGGAGCACCTAAATTCATCCGACTATAAATGTTTCTACCCTATTTTTCAGGAGCGCCCAAATTCATCCGACTATAAATGTTTCTACTCTATTTTTCCCACGGCCGATAGCTGGGCCAAGTACCAGTACTTCCTAAAGTCGTGCCCGTAAACAAGCTCTGACTTTAGGAAAAGTACATGCCACTACAGAAACGCCCAAATTCATCCGACTAGAAATGTTTCTACTCTATTGTTTTCCGCCGCGGATAGCGGGGCCAAGTACTGGTGGTTTAAGGATCTCGTTTCTCTATCCTTTAAACTCTAGGAATTCCTACAGCTTCCTAGAAAAGTTTCCGTGTTTCTCATTCCACGGCTTCCTACGAAATTGTTTTGTAGGACGAGTTGTCGAGTAGAAAACCAAAATGAAAAAGAAAGGTTGTGTCTCAGCCAATCAGGTTCCTCAGATGCAGATATGCCGTGGTCATTTTCAAGGACTGGTACTACAGTTTCAAGGCTTCTCATGAAAATCCTAGAGAGTGGGCCTTGCTCCACCATTCACCAAATGCCTGAAAGATAAAAATCATGGCTGTGTATCTTCCTTGTTCTAGGGGAAGATTCATTTGCATTTTGCAGATTTGGGGAATGGTGCAGTGAGGCCCAATATCAAAGAAATGGCTGGGGATTCCTGAAAACTCTAGGACGGCAAAAAAGATGAGAGGAAGGGCGGGTGGGGTCTTCAGAGGGGCTCAGCTGGACAACCTAGTGGCCGAGTACTGTGGGTAACTGCCATCGGTCTAGCATCCACCTCTACAACAAAAAGGACGACTTCTAGAGATGCTTTCACATTCATCCCCGAAAAAATTGTTGAGTTTGTGATTAGGAAAGAAACGATGGAACAACAACATTCTCACAAAATCACCGTTTTCTAGGCTAATGGAACGAGACCCTAAACCACCACAGCCCCCTCCCCCCYCCCCCCTCCCCCCTCCCCCCTTTCCCCCTCCCTTCCCCCACCTAAAAATGCATGTGGTTCTCCAGGGGCCAGCCACAGGGTGGTTGGCAGCACTTTGCAAAATGTTCAGTGTGCTGACTTTGGCCATTTTTTGTGCTCAGTTGATAAAAATCGTGGACGTAGATTGAGTGCTGATTTCTCTCAGAAAATCCGAGCAAGAAAAATTCGCGGAAAAGCTGAGGAAAGGAAAATAAAAATAAAAATCTGCACGGCCCAAAAAAATATGGTGGCAAGAGTGTTTGCTCTTTTGCTCCCTGCTGCCACAGGTAGTCCCACTTAAACCACCAGTACTTGGCCCATACGGGCCCCCGAACACAAGTTTTGAAGGCCCGAAATGCGACACGGGCCATTGATGAAACGGATCGACGGCCCGTGCTGGCTCCGAAACTTGCACTCGTAAATAAGAGCTCTATTTTTCTTTGGCTGGGCCAAGTACTGGTGTTTTAAACGGTTGAACGAGTGCTGGTGGTGATTGGCAGGCCGTTGTATTGCCTTGGGCGCTCGCCGTTTTGAATGAGGTAGGGATTGATTAAACACAAGGAGGGGATAGTCCCGCATCCGTTTGGGTCGCTGGAAAACCGAGACACTTCAATTTGTTCTGCTTCAGGGGCAGTGGTGGTTTAATTGCAGGGGTGTGCCCTTCAGGTGCGGTGGTGGTTTAACTACAGGGGTGTTCACCCGAGGTTTGGACCACGGGCGTCCCATTATGGTGGATGTTTAATTCAGTTGGACATGTTGTCCTGCAGTATCGGATGTCTCGATTATTACAATGCCAACGCATCGCGGGCCCATAATGCCAACACATTACCGGTCCATGAGGGGCTGTAATGTGTTGGCCTTGTAAATAGAATAGGCATTGCAACTGAAGTAATGTGTTGGCATTATGTAGCGAACATATATTGTTAGAATGCCAACGCATCACTATCCCATATGGGGCGGGGGCGGTAATGTGTTGGCATTGTAATGGTAACATATATTGCCACTGTTCTGTTTTACATTTACTCTTTTTTTTTTTAACACGGGGGCTTGACACTAAGGGTCATACACTTTCCTACGACATTTTTTTTTGAGGACGAGCCCTTACGATTTTTGTGATTAGTTTGCTCTCGTCTATTTTGCTGGTTGCACGCGGCTCTATATTTTTGCTCTACAGGTCACATCCTAAAGCTGGCTGCAATTTAACAAAGGGATAATTTGCAAAATACCCCTATAAGTTGTGATATATGCCAAAATGCCCCTGAAAGATGTGGGTAGAGCGGAATGCCCTTTTGGGGCCCAAAGTTTTTGTGTTATGCCCCTGTTAGGCCGATGCACAAATTTGCATTCTGGACCTCGCTGTTTGGGCCTTGGGCTTTTCGCAATCAGGTCTTGGAAAAGTTGGATGGAACCCGGTAGGTTGCAAACATGGGGTGTCCAACCGGCACCAGGGGTGTTTCACGAAATATTTTTTGTCATAAGGGCATTCCGCCCTATTCACATCTCTTAGGGCCATTTTGGATTATATTCCAATG